AAAAAAAAAAAAAAAAAAAAAAAAAAAGTCATGTATAAATCCAAAGTGGAAATTCACGTTACTGCGGCATTTCTGGACTAACGGCATGCTCTTTGAATGTACATGAATATCTCATCTCCCTCTAACAAAATTTCAATACTGTACAGGGAAGTCACCTGGGACATGATTCCACACAGAGACCGTTTCATATGCTGCTGTTTTGGTTATCAACAAAGCCCAAACAGGCCCAAAATTTGACTTCTGAACTCATGGAAGATAACCCCGCCCATCCAAAATCACTCATTTACGCAAACCACCACAATTCCCGAACTTATCACTGTCGATTGGCAGCATTGCATCACTTTGGGATTTGAGAGAGTTGAGATCAGCACAGCTTTTGAGTAGAAGATCAGATAAGGAGGGGAAGGGGGGGGGAATCTTGGCTTGTCACGTCCAATATGACCGAGAGAAAGACCAACACATTAGAAGTTTAGGCAGGGAGTGTGGCTGTGTGGCAAAAAAAGGCCACGTATCACCATAAGAAGAAGAAGAAATTTGATCAATTGTGAGAGGAAAAGATAAACTAAGGTTTCGACTCAAGCCATGAGTTGAGAAAGTGTATCTGGAAATAAACTACTACGTTCTCAAGTACGGATACTGCAAAACGAAATAAATAAAAACAAATAAAAAGTACTTCCCCCCCGACTTCAAAACTCACTAGTTTGGGTTGCCTGTATAAACTTCAGCCATGGAGATAAGGAGGGGAAGCGGCCTCCGCGTTGCCAACCGGCATCGCGCCGCCAAGCGGGCATCGGGACGCCGACTAAGCAGCGGCTCTTGATGAGAGAACCCATTTCCTCTTCAACTTCAGTTCAATCACGGCGATATTGTAATTAGCACAGCGAGCGCGACTGAGAGGCGAGACTTGAGCGGAGGTGTTCGAAAATGAGGGGCGGTGTGGGGGGGGGGCGGCACTCGTTAGGATGCTCTATATTAGGAGAGCGGTGAAAATGATACGGGAGGGAACGTCACTTTTTGATCCTTCCACCTCCCGTAGAGCAGCGTTATGGCACATCTGTAGAGAGGCGAGAGAGTGGACGCTCTCAAACTCTCCTGGCAGAGAAGAATCCGACAGAGTGTCCAAATTGTTGCCATTCATTCCTCAACCACAGCTCCAGAAATCCACAACCTCAATCGCGCCCC